GCAGATTTTTTTTCCCGCAGTAATTTGCCATTTCTTTCTATGGGAGACCAGCTACCACCCAAGGCTATAGAAACCGGTCTGTCTCGCTATTTACCCATAGCTGGGGGAAAAAGAATAGGATTCATAACTTTCCCAAGAGTATTAGCACGTAAGTGAATGTAATGGATTCGACTGGAATTCGAACTCGGTTCTCCGATTCCTCAATCCGAGCCTCTATCTGATGACTCCACCGTACCTCCTTGGCTCTTTGAATATTGGTGCCAAAACCGGTCTTTTACTCCTACTGTGAACTTCGAAATTCTTGACAAAACTTAAAGTTTGGTCTGTAATTAAATCAGTCCTGATCAGTCATCACGATTCCAGTCACTTTCTCACCGATGTCCCCAGCTATGGATAAATAGCAGGACATAGCTGGGGGAAGAAGAAGATGATTCATACCTTTCCCAAGGGTATTAGCACGTAAGTGAATATAATGAATTCGACTGGAATTCGATATCGACTCGAATTCTAGTAGAATCCATTATATTCACTTTTGATTTAGTATGCTAAAATGTCTTCTACGCAGAGTTTCTAAGCAAATATTTTATTTCTAAGAAAAAATAATATATTATGATAAACAAAAAATATCCTTCGTTGAATGGCGAGCACAAACACATACAGAGACACACGGACATACAATAATATCGCGACATTACAATATCAATAAGTTCGTAACTTTATGATAAAACAAAGCATTTATTTTATTTTGCACAATAAATATTTTTCAACAGGCTCTCCTTTCTTGGCAATTCACTTAATACGGCAATGGACATTTGTCTCGTAAATGGAATCATCTCTAATTAAAAATCTCCAGATCGAAATTCAGATCGTAGATTTATTAATGAACTCATATATGCATATGATAGTAAATAGATATATGCATTGCACACAGAAACACACACATACACACAGGCGCAGACACACGCATATACATCGATATTTATTTCTAAGTTCCAGAAACATACACACCATTTACAATAGGAAAACTAGAATCATTGAAAATCTCTCTGAAAGGACATTGATTTGGACAATTTCTGCACACATAAAGTCCACAAAAGGAATAACTTGTTCACACATAAAAAACAATAAAAAACTTAACAGAAGTAACTTGTCAGTCATTTTTGAATGAAACATAAAAGAAATTACTGCTCAAACACACATATATTTTTTTTATATATATATATATATATATATATATATATATATATATATATATATATATATATGGCCTGACAATTGCATATAGCATGAAACAGACTGTCGCCTCTAAGTGTTGACTTCTATGTTCACTTTTATATTTACACGCTCTATCACTGATATTGAGCACTTTATTCCATAAATATAGCACATCTTAAGACTATATTTCTTCATATATATATATATATATATATATATATATATATATATATATATATATATATATATATATGTGTAAGTATATATATATATATATATATATATATATATATATACAAATATATATATATATATATATATATATATATATGTAAATATATATATACATACATATACATATATATATATACATGTAGTTGAGGATATATATATATATATATATATATATATATATATATATATATATATATATATAAGTGAATATTGACTTTCCAACACTTTGAGGCGACAGGCTGTTTCATGCTAGACGCAATCATCAGGCTGCGGTTTTTCTCAACTGTTTTTATATACGGGTCAGTGGTGCATTGTGGGTATTCCATTCTTGTGCTTATTTTGGCGGGAATGGCTTGTTTATTTGCTTATTGCTGACGATTGCGTCTAGCATGAAACAGTCTGTCGCCTCTGAGTGTTGACTCTAATGTTCACTTTTACATTTACATACGCTCTATCTCTGATATTGAGTACTTTATCCCATAAATATAGCACACCTTAAAACTATATTTCTTCATATATATATATATATATATATATATATATATATATATATATATATATATGTAATTTTAAACAGTATTAATTACATTTACCCGCCTGAAATGTTCGTGAAATATCGTAGTAAATGCGCAATCTCCGACAGGAATCGAAACTTTATTCTTATACAGAAATCGCCATTTGATCTGACGCGCTATACCATTCAACTACAGAGAACCGTCTGGTTAGCAAAGTCCAAATTACTGTTTATAAACACAATCTTCGACGATTCTTCTCGATCTGCTCACGAAACGTATATTAACGTAAACAATGACAACATATATTGAATTGAATTAAGTCACCCGGCAATTATTTAATACATTTTGCGTATAGGAATAAAGGTTCGATGGTGAGCGCATATTTTCTACAAAATTTCTCGAACATTCAGGCCGGTAAATGAAATTAATACTGTTGAATTAAAAAAGACAAAAAGCATGTACTTAAATACATTGTATCTATAAAAATAACATATAAAGAGAAAATATATATATATATATATATATATATATATATATATTTGGTTGGATAGATGTGAGTTTGTGACCCTGGGTTTCACGCTTTAGCGATCGTCAGACAAACTGATTAATGTTTTAAAAAATTTGGGTTTATGTTGATTGCGTGTATTGGTGTTATTGTGGAAGTGGTGGGGGAAATTTCGTCGTTTTGTCATTCATCGTACTAACGCAAACATCGATGTATGCAGACACATATACATACTTGGTCGTCCGTCGGGACTCATACATATATAAACATATGTGGGCAGTTTCGGCTATGACACATGTATGTATACGGGTGGTGTTATATCTATACATACACATTTGTATGTTGAAATGTTGAAATTTAAACATTGGAAGTGTGGCGGAAATGTCTCGTTAATATATACATGTCATATGTGTTTTCCCGCTGAAAAATATTTCCTCGCATGTATGTATATGCGTGTGGTGGTTTTTGTGTAAAATTATGATAGGTAAAAATTATTATTATTTATATTTATTTTAAATTTTTTGAAAAAAAAATGGGGTTTATTTGTTATATTTAAAGCTGGTTATTTGTTTGTTTTTGGTGACTGTGTATATGTAACAGGTAGAAATTTGTAATCCTTATTGATTTAATTTATATGGTGATGTTTAGTTTAATATTCAATGTGCTGGGTGAGAGGGTAGTTCAATTTAATAACGGGTCTATATGATATGATATGATAGTAATGTTTCAAGGGATTGGAGACAATGATAGTCAGCTAATAGTTATTGTAAATTGGTAGAAATGATTAGTAACGGTGGTGGGAGAATGATAAAACCATGAATCTGACGATCGCTAAAGCGTGAAAGCCAGGGTCACAAACTCACATCTATCCAACCAAATATGTTAGCTCTATCTCTGATATTGAGCGCTTTCTAATAAGTACCGCGCATATAATATATAAATAATTATACATATATATATATATTTATTTATATTTATATACACTTTTTTCATATATATATATATATATATATATATATATATATAAATTTTAGAATTTATATCTATCTATCTATCTATCTATCTATCTATCTATATATATATATATATATATATATCTTTAGAATTTATATATATATATATATATATATATATATATATATATAAATTCTAAAGAATTAATGGATTTTATATATTAGCCCGACATATTTTATTAATTTAAACGTTATTTTCATTGGATACTCAATAGGGGAGGGTGCATTTTCTTTAGCTATATTTTTTTAATAACACTGAAATCTTCACAGTCCTTAGTATTGTTGAAGTTATCGCTTAAATTTTTTGTCGAGATTTATAAAGTCTACATTTCGTTCAATTTTGCTAACCAATCGATGAAATTTGAGGAAGCTGTTTGGTTTGGAAAAATACTTTGACAAAAACCATAATTCGCGGTTTAATAATTTTTTTTTTTTGTTCTAATTTTATAAGATTTCATGGTAAACAATATTTTTTTAAGAAAATTTGTTTATTTTTCTTTTTAACAGCGAAGAATATATTCTTAGGATTTCTTACTCGAAAGCGTGCAACATCCAACTGGCCATGAGTAAATATATCTTTCTGGAGTCAACTTTCAATAAAAACTTAAAAAAAAGGTATGCAAAAAACAATATTGTATTTTTATTAAATAATTATTTGTTATTTTAATCATTAAATTCTTTTTAAAATAATGGGATTATTTTACATGTTAAATAATAAAACTTTATTTTTTCCAAAAATTTTAAAGAAAATTTATTGTACCAAACTACGCACCCTAGTAAAAGCAACTGTACTTTGTCCCCTCCCTCTTACTTGTTTGCACTTCTCTCCAAAATCGACTTTCGATCGTATGTATGGCTATTTTAGAGGACGGACGAACTAATGTAAGTCACAGAATTTTATATATAGATAAGATTTCTCGAATGTTCAGGCTAGTAAACGAAATATTTTTTATGTTCTCCTTGTACAAGACCAGGGGGGGGCAC